CTGTTGAGGTGGATGAGACGCCTGTGTCTTCAGATAATGTATGTCGGTCGTTTGGCTAGCTAACGCTAATGCTAATACATTGTATGTTGTAGGACTTTATCCTATCCATCTTACGCGCCAACCCATCGCTGCGAGACAGCCGGAGCTACCTAGCCTCTTTCGGTCCTCGTCCTAAACATCCTATAACCGAACCACAACAACAAAAGTTACCTATAACCCCCATACCTGAATCTATACCCGCCACACACCACCAACCCCCAACTACCACCTCCACTCCCCAAACCACCACCGCCACTCAACTCACCCCCAGCCCCCTCATCGCATCAATCCTCAACCCCATAACCCACCGCACAGCACTCGTCAAAATCCAAGGTCCCTTCACAGACGTCCAGTTGGAGAGTATAGCTCGCGGAATGGTCTACCTAGAAAAACTAGGCCTCGTTTCCGTTATCGTCATCGACAACGCTGAGAAACCCCGTGGAGAGCAAAACGAGCGCAACGAGATCGTCGAAGAGACGATGCGTGTCGTCTCCGCTCTCGAGCGCCAAGGTGCGCGTGCGCGTCCTGTTTTGGGCGCGGTAGTGCGTCTGGGACCCAAGAGAGGTGAAGAGGAGGAAGGATTGGAAGCGCATACGTTTCCAGAGGATTTGATACCGATTAGGTCTGCGTTGAAAGCTGGGGAGATACCGGTGATACCGCCGTTTGCGTTGGATTCATTTTGTAGGTCTGTGAGAGTGGATGCGAATGATGTGTTGGGTGCGCTTGCAAAGGGGATGGTGGAGGTTGGGATGAAGGATCCGTCGACGCAGACGCAGGACGAGGAGGTTGATTTGACGCCGTTAAGGCTGATGATAATCAACCGTGAAGGTGGTATACCTTCTTACGCGCGTTCAGGGCTTCCGCATCTCCTCATCAATCTGGATTCGGAACACGAACATATCAGGGAAACCTTCCGCGAAGAATGGCGTAGTACGCATCCAACGTCGCTTTCCAACCTCTCGTTGGCACGTACGTGTTTGCGGTACATGCCTCCGACGTCGAGTGCGGTTATGGTTTCGCATCGGTCGCAGAGTAGTTTGATTGGGAATTTGATTACGAATAAGCCTGCGGTTTCGAGTAGTTTGCCGCATGCGCTGTTACAGGGGAATCGGAAATTGACGCCACATACGCCTACGTTGCTTCGGAAGGGATTGCCGATTAGGGTTATCAAGACTGTGGAGGGGATTGATAAACCCAAGATGAAGGCGCTGCTGGAGCAGTCGTTTGGGAGGACGCTTGATGAGGAAGCGTTTTATGCGAGACTGGAAAAGACGTTGGATTTTGTGATTGTGGCGGGAGATTATGTGGGGTCTGCGATTGTGACGAATGAAGGAGAGGAGAAGATTAGTTATTTGGATAAATTTGCAGTGTTGCCGAAACATCAAGGAGATGGGACGGTGGACTTTTTGTGGGTGGCGTTGCATGACGAGTCGTATGGGCTTGGACATCCGTCGTCTGTTAATCCGAATGGAGGTAAAGAAGGACGAGGAGAAGGAAGGGATTTGGTGTGGAGGAGTCGAGGGAATAATCCGGTGAACAAGTGGTACTTTGAGAGGAGTTCTGGACATGTACGGATGGGAGATTGGGTGTTGTTTTGGTGTGATGCGGAGAAGAGGTTGAGGATTGAACAAGGTCGAAGGGGAAGTGAAGGATTGTCGTTTATTGAAAAGTGGGAAGAAGGAAGGTTGAGCAAGTGGACTGATGTTATTGGAAAGATCCCTTCAGTTTGGAAGTGATTAAATGTAATAGACTTTTGTATTATTATTGTAGCTAGAGTATACCAGTGCAATCGGTGTTATCGGACATGGCCACGTGAGACAAGTTGAAACGCCAGAGAATGACGAAATTGGAAAGTGCTTGTCATGCATCAATACGCTGCTCATCGAATGCACAATCGCCAGAACAGTGCTCCTGTCAACAGTGTTCCAGTTCAACGACAACAGCCATTGCCACAAATGCCACCTCCACCACCACATATGAGACCAAATCCGTCTTTTGGTCGTCCAAGGAGTGTTAGTCCTGTTAAACACCAGCAGCAGCAGTACAGACAACAACCGCCGATCGCACCAACTTATTATCCACCGCCGCCAGTTGCGCCGTATGTTGCAGCAAATCGACCAATGGTGCAGCCCCAGGACCACCAATGGCACCACCTGCTCGTTCAATGGTTGCACCACCGCCTCCAATGGTAGCGCCAGTCGCACCACCTCCAATGGTTTCACGAGTGGCATCCCATCCATTGCCAGTAACTCGCACACAGGTCGCCCCATTACCACCCCCAGCACAAGTGGCCCCCATCGCACCACCTCGTAAACCAAATCCAATCCTAGATGGCCCATCCAACACTTCTCCCACCAAAGGCAACTTTGTTCCTCTCTGGAAACGAAACACCGTCTCTCCACGTGTAGTAGCCGCTGCAAATTCCACTCCACCTCCCATCCCAAGCCCAAGCAGGGGCAGACCACTCCCTACTCCAGGTGCTCCCAAATCACAATCTGCGTTCACTGCTCCACCACCTCCACCACCAGTAGAAAGCTCCGAAGAAAGCTCAGACGATGAAGGTTTCCTACGTTACGCCAACGCTAAACGCAGTCAATCACAAATCCAACCACAGTCACAGACAATGGAACGTGTCTATTCTGCACCAGCCGTCCCTTCATCTGGCCCACGTCCACCACCTTCCATGTCAAACACACGTAGCGCCCCTGGGGTGAAGAGCAACACTCTACGTTTCGCTGCAATGTCTCTCGATAACGACGCTAAAGGAGAGTGGCCAGTCGATTTACCTAGGTTGCCTAGAGCACCTGGTTCTAACATCGATTTGGATGAACCTCCACCTAGACCAGCAGAGGAATACCTCAGGAGAAGTCCAAGTCCTGCGTTTGGTACGAGGGGTCGTCAAGAGTCACCTACGAGAACGTCGCAGGATTACTCACGACCCCCACAACAATACGCACATCCCCAACCACAATACTCCCAGCCTCAACCTCAGTCTCAGCCGCCATCCCGTCCACAATCGCAGCACTATCCACGCTCACAGCCAGAGTACTCTCAGCCACCGTCGAGTCCGCAATCGCAGCATTATACCCGTGCTCAGGCAGAACCGCCAGCGAGGCCTCAATCAGAGCATTATGCGCGTGCTAGGGAAGAGTCGCCAACAAGGCCGCAATCTCAGCATTATACGCATACTCGGGAAGAGTCTCCTACCAGGCCTCAGTCTCAGCATTACTCACGCTCTCAGGCAGAGCCGCAGTCTCAGCACTACGCACATTCTCAAGCAGAGCCTCCATCGAGACCCCAGTCTCAGCACTATTCACGGTCCCAGGCGGAACCGCCGTCAAGGCCGCAATCACAGCACTATTCGCGCTCTCAGCCAGAGCCACCATCGAGACCTCAGTCGCAGCACTATTCACATCCTCAGGTCGAGTACTCCCAACAACAGCAGTACACACAATCTCAACCACCGTCGAGACCGCAATCTCAGCACTATTCGCATCCTCAGCCCAGTATTCTCAGCCCCAGCCTCAACCACAGCAATCGCCATCGAGGCCTCAGTCACAGCACTACTCCCATGCACAACCACCTTCCCAGCACTACACCCAACCGCGCACCCCTTCACCCAAATCCACAGCTCCAGCAATCAACATCAACATCGAATCACCTGCTCCTCTCGGTGGAAGAGACCGCGTAGGACACGGTGATCTCGAGAGAATGGAACGTGAAAGCGAGGGGTCTACGTCGCCTGGTATACCTGAGATTAGGTTACCAGACGAGGTGCCAAAGATTAATCTACCGGATGAAGTACCGAGGATTATACTACCCGACGAGGTGCAGGTGCAGGTACCAAAGATCAACTTACCCGACGACGACGAACCGCGCCAGGTGCCTATGATAAACTTACCTGACGACGACGACGACGACGGGATACCCAGTATTAACGTCACCCCTGCAGAGCCCAAACCCAAACCAGCACCACAACCACAGCCAATCGTGTACGAAGTCCCTGGTATGGGCGTCTCACAGGGTATCCCAAGCCAACCTTCAACCTCTTACCCCAAACCACCACACCAACACCCCCAACGCCATCCATCAAGCCTAACCTGCTCAACCTGCCACCTCCCCATAATCGGCCGCCTCGTCTCCGCCATGTCCCTAAAATTCCACCCCAGCTGTTTCCGCTGCACATCCTGCCACACGCTCCTCGAACACATATCCTCATACGAATCACCTACAACTCACCTTCCGTATTGCGGACTGTGTTACCATGAAGAGCACGCACCGAAATGCTGGCACTGCCAGACCCCGATATATGAAGAGAGGTTTATTAGTTTGGATGATGGGGAGTTGGGGAGGAGGTGTTATCATGAGCAACATTTTTTTTGTGCGGAATGTGGGGATCCGTTTTTGAGTCCGAGTAGTGCGAGTCGGTTGAATAGGGGGGTTTGGGAACGTGGCCGTGGGGGTGCTGGGGCAGGGAATGGGGAGATGGCGTTTGAGGGAGATGGGACGTTTAGGTATACGGAGGATGATGAAGTTGGGTTTACGGTTTACAAAGGGTGCGGCTCTCGTTTTATTCATTTCTTACCAACACTAACCTACTATAACACACACAGCTACCCATACTGCGAACCATGCCACGTCCGTCTCCGTCTACCGAAATGCAAACGATGCAAGAAACCCCTACGGCAAGATACCGATGCCGTCGAAGCACTTGGAGGTAAATGGTGTTGGGGGTGTTTTAGATGCGCAGGATGTGATGAGCCGTTTGAGGAGCCGGCGTTTTATGAGAGGGATAAGAAGGCTTGGTGTGAGAGGTGTTTTAGTGTTATTTTGAGGAATGAGGTGTAGTGTGGTTTGTGTGTTTGTGTTAGAGTTAGAGTGTAGAGTGTAGAGTAGATCGTAGATATAGGAAGGACTATGGAATGATATATTGTGGAACAAAAAACCCTTTCTCAACTTACTTCCATCACAGGGAATCGAACCCTGGGCTATCGCGCTACACTGCACAGGTCCATGAGAGGCGATAATGTTAGCCACTACACCATGATGGATATACTCCTCAATTCCGAAGCACTCGACACATTCTCAACATCAAAAGATGCATTCAACATGCGGGTATTGTAAGTAAAATGTACATCATCAGTTGTGTTTAGCGTTCATTTCAATAACTTCTACAAGTACCATATAATCCTCCAGTTCAAGAAAAGAAATCAGCAAAAGGAACGTCTTCGGGTCAATCACAATTCACATCTCCATCTCCTCTTTCCCATCCTTCTCCTTCACCTCCGAATCTACTATCGCACTCTCTTCACCCCCAACACCACCTCCAGGAATAACCAACGGACTACTCTTAAACCTGCCCTTCACACCAGCTCCAGAACCACTCTTCGACATCGACCCAGTCCTCCTCTTTCCGCTCATCAAAAACGCCTCCAAAGACGGCGCAGGCGAAGCACTCCTCGACACGGGTGTACTGCTCATCGCGAGTTGTGCTATCGCTTGTGTAGGTTCAGGAGATTGAATGACCGGGCTGGGGTGTTCGATGATCACGGAAGGAACGCGGATCTCTCCGGCTGCGGAGGTGGTAGTACTGTCGTCTTTGGAGTTACTCCGCCTAGCTATGGGTTTAACCACCGTCGGGACGTCCATACTTCCACTTCCACTACCGGACGTCGCATCGGATTGTCGTGCAACAGGATCTCTGGGACTCGGAGGAGCGCTTTTGGAACGTAAAAAGCTTAGCCCGCCAAGACCTTTCAGAGCTAGTGGTTTCAGGACTGGTCTTTGGGTAGACGTTGGGGATGTCGCTTCGGTTTGGTTGGACGCTGAGGTCTGGATTTGGGTTGGTTGTGCTGAGGATGATGGTCCGCTAGGAGGAACGTAAGGGTCTCCGTGTGCGCCTTGGACGTCGAATTCGTCGTAGATTTCTTCTCCAATGAGTTCTGTCGATGGGCAGAGAGCGTTAGTGAGTGATAGGTAGACATGAAAGTCGACGCTTACCTTCAAGCACATCTTCAAGAGTGATAATACCGAGAGGATCTACAGCCGGATCAATACCTTGCAAAAACTGTCGTTCCCCGTCAGCACGCCGTACCACACACGAAATGAAACAACCTACCTCCTCGGCACCTTCCTTCGCCAAAACAGCATCCGCAGGCATACTTTGCTCCAGCCCACCAGAAACTCTCGGTAACTGGAAACTTGCCCTGTGGTTCTTACTCCCTTCCATACTGGATTTACTATCCGGCCTCGACCGATTGAGCTTTGTCGCAACCGAATCCATATCCACACCCCCACTAGAAGCAGAAGCGTCCTTGTCGAGCGCAACTTCCTTCAAAGTCGCTTCGCCATCTTCAACACCTTCACCTTCTTCGATATCCTTGACCTTTCTTCGCCCACGACGAGTCTTTGTAGAGTGCTTTGGCTTTTCGCGTTCCTCGTCAGAGTCGGAGGAATCGCTACTGCTGGATTCAGAGTCGCCCATACCGACGCGTTGACGAAGACGTTGGGTGAGGCTTTGTTTGACGACTTTCTTGACGCTGGCTGCCTGTAGAGATGTTAGTTGTGGTTGTGGTGTAGACACGGGAAAAGTTTGTATACCTTTTCACGACTAATCCGACTAACGATCGCCATATGACTACGTCCTTCTTGGAACTTGTCCAGGATACCAAGTAAGGGCTCGTTCTGCGGGACCGATGGAACCTTGTTCAAAGGTATATTTCGCAGAGGTACTGAGTCTACAGAAAAGTTAGTGATAGCACATATTGAGATGTGTGATGGAGCGCTAACCATTTGGATCAAGCAATACACAATGCTTTACCAACAAAATCCCGAGAATCTTCTTGACTCTTCGCGTTCGAGTTCCGTCAGCTTGAAGAGGGACAGGAATATCGATCTCTTCGTAGACGGGTACACGACTGTGCCCAGTCATGCAAATCTTCTTGAGCAGTTCATAGTCGAGCTTTGCATCGATGGAAAGCATGAATACGTCCTTGATTGGTGTCATTGCCTACCAAATTCCAAAAGTCAGCGCTGAACCGAAAATCTGAATGCGAACATACCTGTCTAACAACTTTTTCCTGTAAATCCAAGGTAGCGCCAATAATTGTCACTGTGTCAGTCTTGAGGTCTCCACCGTGAGCACCCACTGATGAATGCATTGCGATGAGCTCTTTCAGTTCTGTTTTCGAGTTAGTAGACCGGTCTATAGACTAAAAGGCAACTGACCTGCTCGGCGATAAATAATACCATGATGAGGTCCAAGAGCGAATTCCAACAGTTTAGCAACAGGCCAAGAAATAATTCCCTAGGAACGTTTGAATCAGTATAGGGCATCTACAAAACCAAAGGAATGACCAACCAAGAAAAATATAAGGCATCGAGTCAAACCAGCCATTTTTGCACCTAAATACAATCCGTGCCTCGTGAACAACGACTGGGGTATGATTTCTGCAAAACTAGAAGACGTTTAGCGACTTATTCTTGGCTTGGCAATGGTGTAAAAGGAAAGCGGATTGCTGTGTATGGTAACTCGGTAGCCTTGGAAGACGCCTGCCAAGTCCTTTCACCGCGTGACGTCAAAGGAAGAGCACAACTAAGAACGCGTCGCGTTCCAAAGCACTCTCAGAATAGTACTACCACCACTACAGTACGGACAAGGACCATTTTCCATAGGGCGCAACGGTAAACTCACATGACGATAAGCGTGGTAGATATCACAACACTTTGAACTCCTCCTCCAAGAACGGAATCCAAAATGACAGGAAGCGATTCATTTGCGATCATGTTCGCTAGCAAGAGAGTTACGAGCAGTAGATGGCCATTCTTTCGGATAGGAATGATCTTCTGCGCGTATTTACGCTGCTGGCTGTATATGATAAGAGTGTGAGTGCTGATTACAGGCCCAAACAGGCCCTATTATGGCGATAACTTCTTACGGGGTTCCACTAATACTCAAGACCTGAGTGTAGAAGTATAATGTCAGCCCATTGATGTCAAGCTACCAGTATGCCACTTACATTCAACTGCGTTTCATCCAAGCTCATATAACCCAATGTCAAACCGGCGAATAATCCTGACAACAAGACAAGAGCTGGGATGAGAGCCGCGAAGACGACCATTTTCGTGCTGTGTGGGTCAAAATGCTCTTCTTCTCTCTTGACGAGTGAGCCATGGATACTGGGATCGGGCCCATTGGAGCCATGGGTATGTAGAGCTCGAATAGCGCTGGGACCATTTTGTGTGGCGATGGATAGTAAAGTGTACAATAGCTTATTGGAGTTTCGGTTGTATGTTGAAGGCAGGACCATTCGTGTTGGGGATTTGTGAGAGAAAGAGGAAGTTCGTTCGGCGAACTTGAGGGGTTACATACGTAGTTACCGTAAGCGCCAAATGGGGATTTTCCCGCGCACGGACCAATCCGCGAGTCAAACGTTGCAAGTCGTCACTGTCGACGTTTTATTTCGTTATCTCTAGTAAAATTAGCTCAAGCTCTGGCTGCGCCCGCAGATAGCAGGTCTGGATGGATGCCTATTGGTGCAGCAAAGGCGATGCTGCTTTACTGAGTGATTAAGTCTCAATTGAGTTGCACTTGAATGCTGTTTCCTATATGCGGTCGGAGCATCTAAGCGACAGGAGTACTTATCAAACTCTATTTACAGCATTATGACCTTCTTCGGGGACACTAGAACGTTCGAGTTGGCTACCAGAGTGAAGGGATTCATCGAGAAACCTCTGTCGACTGCACGAAGTGGTCATGGCCTCGGAGATCACTGAGCTCAAACTCGAGGGCGTGGCATGGATCAATGGCAAATAAGACGAAATGAAGGACAGCGAATTATTGGCACCGTTGTCAACGAGTACGCTATCTCAAGCGAGCACTATAGACTTGTATAACTGTGCCCAACACAGTTGAGAACAGCAACTCACCGCTCAAATCAAATGGCAAATCGGACGCAGTTCATGGGCCACCACACTCTTTCCTACCAGTTTCAGCGAGGTATGAGGCCAGAGATCGAATCATTAGGCCACCTAGCACAGTGAAACGTCGCACAGGAAGGGTCGCTTCTGAAAGGATCACCAATGGTGGAGCGAGGATTGCAAGGATACAACACTACGATGGTGATCATCTGTAATGCTGACACCTTGCATTCCATTCCATTCACGAGGGCGCAATGCGAATGCATCTATTGCAGCCGCTTGCTATTATCGATTCTACAAAGGACATGGTCGATAAGGACATGCTGTAGCAGCAGGAATAGGCTTGATCCAGGTTCTTGGATTGGAGATGCTGACCTGTTCACGATGACCGACCGGGACACTAATGAGATTCACAAGTAATTTCGGAATAGTATCGATTGAAGTTCATTTCCTGACGGGGAATCGGCATGAATAGAGACCAATGAAAGTCGAAAGTCGATGGTTTTGGGGTGAACTCCACCTTGAATTGGGGCAGGTTCTTTGGTCTTCTATGCTTCTGATTCGCATATCGTGTCAAGGTTCAGTGCGTCGACAGCTGTGTTTTCCGCGAAGTAGACCAACATGTGATGTACAACTTCTTATAGTTCTTCTAGACAGAACCAGAAGTCCTATGGATGCCGACAGAATCTAAATGTGTCGATTCAGCGATGCCATGAAGAAAACGGTGGATCGAAATGACATACCGGGAGGATCAACCTGCTCAGTGGGCTCTGGGTGAACTTTGTGCCGAGTATGAATTAAAATTGATTTTCTGGCCTGAGGAATGCTCGAAAGATGAGAGCTGCAAACGCGCAAGATGAGCAGGTGTTGGTTTTCCCCAAACCAACAAGGCCAATCAACGCGCGAGAGGTCTGCCAGATTGATGCAGTGCATGCATAACAACCCTCCATTCCTGGTTTCACTCACATCCGTCTCGATAACACCTCTTGGATTCTTGCTCACCGGACTGTTTACCAATACCACAGATACTACGATTCATACCCCGCCATGGCTGACCAGCGTCAGCGTATCATCGATTCCGTGTTCTCTCGACGGAATGCAGCCGGAAATCTTGAAGAAACTTACATGGGCC